CCCAAATATTGTTTAGCTTATCCCTAATGCTTCTTAGCTTACATAAAAAATGTTCTAGTTTTTTCATAATTTATTCTAGCTCATCCCCAATATTTTCTAGCTCATTCCCGATATTATTCAGCTCATCCGTAATGTTATCTAGCTCACCTTCAATATATTCTATCACATCCAAAATATTTTGTAGTCCATCCCCAATGATTTCTAGCTCATACCCAATATTTTTAATTTCATGCACAATATTTTCTAGCAGATAGGTCTACCAAATTTTTTCTAGCTCTTCCGTAAAACGTTCTAGCTCATACCTAATGTTTTTTAGCTCATCACTAATATTTTTTAGCTCACACGTTGTACTTTCAATCTTATCTGTAATATTTTTAGCTCATCCCCAGTATGTTCTAGCTGATCCCTCTTATGTTCTAGTTCATTCCAAATATTTTCTAGCTCATCCATAACATATTCTAGTTCTAGCTCATCTTTATTATTGATTTCTAGCTCATTCCTAATTTTTCTAGCTCATCTCCAGAATGTTCTAGCTGATCCCTCCTTTTTTTTAAAGCTCATCCATAATATATTATAGCTCATCCCAAATACTTTCTAGCTCACCCCTAATATATTCTAGCTCATCCCCAATATTTTTTAGCTAATCTCTAATATTTTCTAGATCATCCCAAATATTTTTTTGCGGATCCCCAGTATTTTCTCCCTCATTCCTAATATTTTCTAGCTTATCCTCAATATTTTAAATCTCATCCACAATATTTTGTAGCTGATCCGAAGTATTTTTTTAGCTCATCCCTAATATTTTCTAGCTTATCCCAATAATTTTAGCTCATTAACTCATCCCCAATATTTTCTAGCTTATCCCTAATACTTTTTGTCTCATCGCAAATATTTTCAAGCTTATTCATAATATATTACAGGTAATCCCCAATATTTCCTAGCTCATCCCTAATGTTTTTTTAGGTCATCTTCAGTAGTTTTAATCACATCCAAAATATTTTGTAGTCCATCCCAAATATTTTCAAACTCATTCCCAATATTTTAAAAAATCTCATCAGCCATATTTTCTCGCTGATCCTAAGTATTTTCTCATTCATATTTTCTAGCTCATCCCTATTGTTTTCTAACTCATCCTTAATATTTTGTAGCTGAACCCTAAAGTTTTCTAGCTTGTCTTCAACAGTTTTTATCACATCCAAAATATTTTGTAGTCCATCCCCACTATTTTCTACTTCACCCCCAATCTTTTTTATCTCATCCCTTATATTTTTTTAGCTCATTCCAAATATTATTCAGCTTATCCCTAATATTTTTAGCTCATACCAAATATTTTGTAGCCCATCCCATATATTTTCTAGCTCATCCATAACATACTCTAGCTCATCCTCATTATTCTCTAGCTCATTTTTTAATTTTTTCTAACACATTCAAATTGTTTTCTAGCTCATCTCTAATATTTTTTAGCTCATCCCTAATATTTTTAGTTCATCCCAAATATTTTCTTACTTACTCATTACTCTCATACCCGTTATGCCATCTGGCGTTTAGGGCAGCAACAAAGGACCTCCAGCTCTGTCTGTTTTGGGCCATCCTGGTCAACGTTCCCCACGAAGGATTCCAAGACTTTATTTCAGACTCTACAGTGCGTCTCCGGGTCACTTTGGGTCTGCCCCTTTTGCGATGTCCTTAGGGTGTCCAGTGGAGGGTAGTCTTTACAACAGAGTCTGGTTCTCCAGGTTTCGGAGGTTCAGCTCAGGGCTAACAAACTACCAAAATCATACGTTTCGGAAACAGCAACAT